CGTCCGTTCAACAGCTGCTGATTCTTTAACGAAGTCATGGCTAACTAAATGATTCATTTGGACCACCACACGGTAAGCTACCGTCTTCCTTCCAGCCCGATGAATTTAAGGCTTCTTTGCAAAAATATCATGTTTAATGGTCATTTCCAGCTATTTGCTACCATCCGAACGCTTATCAGTGTGGACGATGTGCAACGTTGTAAATCATTATCTGTAATGCACTGAGTAACGATTATTTAAATGTTAAGTTCGAAGCTGACCTTTTTGACACTGTGCCATCATACCCATCGTAAGCAAGATAATGATAAACGTGTAGTGCTTCAACGTATATGATACATAAGCAATTAAAACTATAACGTCGTGAAAGGCTTTAAGCTTCAACATATTTTTCAACGAAACCAGCATTGTATTCTTCAGTCATCATTTCATCGTATGATTATACCTAATGATCACTGCATTACACAGTAATCCTAAAGTAAAGGTATTACCCTGACAACTTGCAGCCGATGTTTCATCTAATAAAATGATTATGTAGAGCAGTCGCATAAGAAACGTGAAGCTCATGCAACTAACCTCCATCACAGAAGAATAATATTCAATGATAAAGTTTTTTTTAAAAGTAATCGTAATACTTTACAATGTAGTGTTCTTCAATGGAAGCTTCAAAAGGATACAGGCGCTGGCTTTAGATCAGTTTACAAAAATTACTTAATTTAATGAACTTTTTTATTTAATTGTTTAAATAGTTCATTTCTGATTCAAGGTGCCAACCATAGTTAAATCCAAAATGATCTTCCATCTCAATTTGACAAGCCACCTGAGCGTAAGGTCAAATCTGCAATGTATCCACACATTTTCCAAATAACGGACTCTGTTTTGATTTCATGGTTGTCGCTTTCCCTGGTTCATTTTCACTGATTTTTGTACTAACAAGAGTACGATGATGAATTTTTTTGCGAGAACAGCCTGCAACTATCGACATTAAATCATGTACCCGAATGAGACACGCTGAGCCTGTTTATCTTTTTACTGTTGCTTCTCATCGCCATCTGAAACCAACAGAGCTTCAACACAAGGTAACCCAAATTTATGATATCTGACCGTTAGAAATAATACTTCAAACTGATGTTAAGTAAAGTTCGCTGCTGTAGTGCATTTCATATTCATTTCCTCAAATAGATCGACTTCAAAGATGTTTTCCCACCCTTTGAATTGTCCACCTACGTGTCTGCGGCCAGTGCGCAGTTCCAGAGAGAGAAGTCATATTTTCTTTCTCTTTTTAAGCTGTTTTATTAAACCGAGTCAGGCGCCCGTCCCTATGTTCATCTAATAGTTTCCTCAAAACGATGGTTGTCAGTACCTGTTCGCTTGTGAGCCGACTTTTGGAAGATGGCGTCGTCGTACATAGCAGCGAATTTGTTGCTGATTTCTATCTGAAACGGTTCGTGAGTGACAGGATCTCGATTTTACCGTTTCAAAGCGAACGTCACCCCTTTCTAGGATGCTAGTCTAGTTGCTGCAAGAGGAAGACGGAGTATTGCGACCATATAAAATCGTCAGTTCCGCGTATCGTTTTGCCCGAGCGTGGTGGAGGGCACATCGCTTTTTGTCGCTGACCAGCATATGATCAATTTATATTCTGAAGTGACCGCCTGGCACCGTCCATATCTGCTGATAGATGTTTCTTACTGATGACGAAGCCAGTGACGTCAAAGTCAAACTGTCACTGCCCGTTGTTATTGGCAACACCGTTGCTGTATCCACCTGGCACGCAGGGCCAATTGTCATTGCAGACGCCGACCTGTTCGTTGAGGTGACCAGCGATGATCGATAATTTAGATAAAGCCACAGAAGCTGCGAAAGTTTGGAAAGCGGCAAAGCCACTGGAATCGATGAAATCTGCCTTGTGATGCCTTAAGAATTAAGCAAGCACGGTGAGTTGTCGCTAATATGCGCCTGTAGAACGATAACAGGGGAAAAAACGAATTTTGAGGACGATAATGTAGTATCCCTGCTTGAGGAAAGAGATTTTAGGGAGTGCTCCAATTATAAAGGCGTTGGCACGTTGAAAATCCCTGGAAATAGGTGCCGCGGAATAATAAATTATAAGATCCCAGAGTAGCAATGTAGTTTCAGGTCAAGCCACCCTTTAACAGATCTTAGCCTTACGTCAGATTGCAGAAATCGTGAAAGTCTACTTATTCGATTTACATGCTCTTGGTGGACCTAGAGAAGGTCTGTGACTGGATCCCGCACAACAATCTAAGGGCACGCCTGAAAACATCGGATCAATTTCCAGTTGCCACGGGTCATCCAGTCACTATATACTAATGGCAAGTACTGCGTCAGAGTAAATGGCATTACGCACAAACCTTTTGACGTCAGAACCGGCCTCCTTCAAGGCTATGTCTTGCCATCTCTTCTGCTTGTACAGGACAGAATAGTCAGGCACTGGCAGCACGAATGCGCGAATCAGCATCGGAAACGCAGAGATGAGAAGCTTGCGGTCTACAAAAGACTTAGTGTCGTCTAAAACTGATCTCCAGCGTTCTTTGGAAAGGTTTGCCGCTAAGTGCCATATGTTGCTCTGTAGATAAACAAAGAAGTAGTAGAATAGATGGAAAAATTCAGTTAATTCGGAATCGTGCTTACTGCGCGACAGGAAATGGACGCAAGAGATGGGTTAGCGAATTGGAATGACCAGCGATGTTATGACTGAAGCAGAACTGAGTAGAACGACTTAATTCTATATGTTCAGGTTGATCTTCAACTCGATTTTCATGTATGGTCATCAGCCGTGAAGTATGACTAAGAAACTTCGATTTCAGGTGCAGGTGGCTAAAATTGACTTTCTCAGAGGAATCGTTGCCCGAAGATAGGAAGTTCGGATATTCGAGAGAACCTTTGGATACAGCCACTGTTTCTTCACATGGAGATATTACAGCTTCGATGGTTTCGTCACGACTAGCGAAAGCGTCAAGAAATGCCAGCGAAACAGCTATTGCATGCTCAGTCAACTAGTCCAAGACACCGGGACGGCCAAGAATTAGCTGGGGCAAGTGTCTCGAACTCTGCTCCAGACTCTAGTTATTTTCTGTTAAGCCAAGCTCGGCAACGTTAAAGAAATCTGATGCGTTTACCTTCGATGAGCTGAAGGAACAGGCAGTCATCGAAGTTGCCTAACTGACTCTTGGTCGTTTATCATTGATTATTAGATTGCCGTTTCTTTGATTCGATACATTGGCGCAATTCACTTGAGTGTTTTATAGCGGTAAGAATAAAACGCTCTGTAACCATAAACATAACCCCAAACACACTGTCTGTTCTCTGATTTGTGGAGCTTGAAGGTGACTGCTCATCGCAAAATGACTAAAATAGAATTAAATTTTTGTAGCTGAGCTGCAGGTTAAAACACGACCTATCTAGTAATAAGATGAAATTGCGAACTTGAAGGTGTGCTTTACGAAAGATACTCTTGTCATTTTCTTTCAGCTTTGTTAACACAGACGTTTCACTTATTTAGGCGTAGAATTTGAGAAAGAAAATTATTCATTTATTTGTTTCATTCAATGTATTGCGTTATTTTCGTTAAGCGTTAAATAAGTTAACTTATTTTCGTTAAAATAAGGATGCCCTCTGGAGGAAGGTCGCGCCAATGTTTTACAAGTAACCATGTACATAGATTTATATACTGGACAGATCTACTTGGCTTTACTGTTTTTGATGGCACAAAGATTTGCCATGTTGAAAAACTTGAGGAAATTCATATGGTTCAGGCTATGATAAAAGATACACGTTTAGGATTGTTGTAACTAGCTTTCTTTTCGGTTTGAAAGCACAACACCTCAGTTTAGTACACTTTTCATTGATACTATTATTATTTGGGGAATACACCATCGCTTCTTCGGTGGAAACCGAAACAGATTAAAAGTGTCATGAGAGTCTTATGTCACGCCCAACGACATTCGGCTTTTGAAAGACGGAGAATTTACCTAATATTGGGGTGCAGTGAAATGACATAGGAAAAATATAGTTAACTTTCTTGAAAGTTTATAAAACTAAGACTTCTGCTGTTTAGTTAACTGTACCTACTTGATATAATTCCAGCGCCTGTAAGCCTCTGCCTTCTGGGCATTTGTGTTTCTGGTAGCTGGCAAGACGAAGACGTTTAATTTTTGACAAACTATTTACGTTTTTAGTTAGTCAGCTGATAAAATCTGGAAATGGATAGTTTTATTATGGTGGACTATCCTGTAATGATCGAACTTCGCACAGTTTGTTTATCACTAAGTGTTCGCCA